AAATTAAAAGGTTTTAATAAAAGATTAAATAATTTTAGATAGGAAAAATTAATTGCAAATGCATATTTTGAAAGCATAGAGTTCTGACTTTAAAATTTAGGAAAGGGGCTCCTGGGTGGCTCAGTCGTTAAGTGTCTGCCTTTGACTCAGGTCATGATCCCAGGGTCCTGGGATCGAGTCCCACATCGGGCTCCCTGCCCGGCGGGAGGCCTGTTTCTTTCTCTCCCACTCCCCCTGCTTGTGTTTCTGCTCTCGCTATCTCTGTCTCTGTCAAATAAATAAATAAAATCTTTAAGAAAAAATAAAAAATAAAAAAAAAATAAAATTTAGGAAAAAGGCATTCAGGCCAATGGCAAGAGAACCTGCCTTAATGCTTCCTGTGACCCTTAGAATGTTAGACTAGAAAGAATATAAACTGTGGAATCAGACTTGGGTTCATCTTACCAACTGTCTACACTGAGCAGATTATTTAAACTGATACTTATTTTCTTCAACTATAAAACATGAAAAATAATGTCTACCTTTCTGGGTTTATGCCAAGGATTAAATTAGATTAAATTATGTTGTGAGTGTAAGTACCTGGCTCATGGTAGTTACTTAAATGCTTTTTTGGAAAGGACTGCAGGTGATAAGAGCTATAGATCAGATTTAAAAAAAAAATTTTTTTTTAAATTTTTTAAGTAGGCTCCACACTCAGCATGGAGCCCAACACAGTGAAAGAGTTTGGATTTTTATTTTAAAGAGACTTTCATTTCTTTGACACTTAAGTGATCTTTTAGTTTGCTTTTAACTAGAACATCCATGACTCCAAATATGTTGGATCCTGGCTATCCATGTATTACTCTATAATCACTATTTCTCTGTTCTTTTTTTTTTTTGAGAGAGAACACCAGCGGAGTTGGTGGGGGGGGGGAACAGAGGGAGAAACAGACTCCCCACTGAGCAGGGAATCCGAGGTGGGGCTCAATCTCAGGACTCCAGGATCATGACCTGACCCGAAGGCAGACGCTTAACCAACGGAGCCACCCAGGCGCCCCTCTCTGTTCTTTTTTATTTATTGTCACCTTTTACTCCATTGTCGGTATGTTGATCTGCTGTTGTCTTTCTGTACATATGTTGGAGGAAGGGACAGATTTCAACACAATCATTATTTTTTACTAGCAGATTATGTGAAAGCCAGGTTCTGAAAGACTGGGTTTGAGCCCTGGCTTTGCTAGTTATTGTGAACTTGGGCGAGTTATTTAAACTGTCAGTCTTAGTTTTCTTATTTGTAAAATGGGTACAGCGGTAGTTTCTACTTCATAAAGTTATGATGAGTATTAAATTAGTGAAAATTTTTAAAGTTCTTGGTGTGGTACTTTGCACCTACCAAATGTGCAGTAAACCTTAGCTTAATATTTTAATGGTATTGATGATATAGATGACTTTTAAATCTGTATTTTGAACCCTGTTCTCTCATCAAAACTAGTCTTTTTTTTTTTTTTAAAGATTTATTTGTCAAAGAGAGCACAAGCAGGGGGAATGGTGGGCAGAGGGAGAAGCAGCCTCCCCACTGAGCAAGGAGTCTGATGTAGGACTCGATCCCAGGACCCCGGGATCATGACCTGAGACGAAGGCAGACGCTTAACCGACTGAGCCACCCAGGTGCCCCCAGAACTGTAGTATTTTATCTCTAACTGCCTACTAGACATTTTCTCTTATTCCTGACTGCATTAACTTAAACACAATCTAAAGTCAAACCCTTCTTTCCACATGGAGACGGTCTTTTTTGTTGTGTATAGGTGATGTGGGTATAGATATAGAATAAATAAGCAACATTTGCTTCAGTTATCAAATACTTAGAAACACTTTGATATCTGAGCTAAAAGTTACAGATTCTGTTATCAGAATTCTGAGCAGAATATTTGCTGCTTCATGCCATGCTTTTTTTTTTTAAACTTGAAAACTATTTCATTTGACATGGAGGACCTCAACTAAAGCGTCCAAAGGAGGGGAATAGACTATTAATGCCCAGCAGGAATTCAGGAACACAGTAAATGCCTTTCTTTTATCTGTTCTGTATCTTCCTGTTCATAGGTTCTCACATGGAATCCCAAGAGGACAGCTGTTGGTTTGTCATATTTTACAGGCCTAGTGCCTTTTAATAAACTGGTTATGTGTTATATGTTGATGCTAGGACACAAAATTGGCACTCATTAAGTAGCTCTTAAGTAAATAAATCAAAAGAAGTACAAGATATAAGATACATGGTCCCTGCTAGTAAGAGTTTATAAATGAAGTAGGGATGATAATTCCTGAAGCCAGTTAAATAAAAATCTATAAACTCCATTATATAGTGACATGTCAGGATAAGAGGAACAAATAATAAATTGTGTAGACATTCAGTAAGTGGAGGAAAAGGCTTTTGGAGTTGACGGGCTTGAGCTAGCCCTTGTATGTGTGCTACTAGAAGATTTCTGGTCTGAAGACGTATAAAAACTTCCCCTTTGATACTATAATAGTTCTGCCCCCCTCAGGATCAGACTGCTTCTTGCTTTTGCTTTAAAAGAGATTAGATTCTAGCAGTCCATTATGTAAGCCAAGAAAGACCATTTTTATGTGAAGGTGCACTTTCATTGAACTTGGCTCTCTCTATCGTATTATAGTTAGTTGTTTATATCTGTCTCTACATAGTTTCCATATGGGAGGCACCCCGTAGATGTTTGTTGAATAAACAAGAGTGTAAGCTCCTAATGGGTAAGAATGTGTTATTTTTTGTTTCCTCATGTTCACTGAAGCGAATTGAGATTGGTGAAGTTTCTTGAGATTGGTTCTTGGAAAATCAGTCCTCACTGATTCTGTTGCTGCAGTTTAGCTCACCACACAACAGGTGCTTGAGTATTCACCTTCCTCCAGGCCAGCGAAGTTATATTTTGATGACTTCCCTTTTGACCTGGTCTAGTACTTGTAGACCAGGTCGAATACAAAGATTGATCTATAGGCAACAGCTGAAGAGTGAAAATGATCACTTCTGTGAAGACAGGTACACACTCATGCACCAATTCCCTTGTCTGAGTAATGTTATTTAAATGAATACTTCTCCCAAAGTCATCAACTTGCCCCGTAACACACCTCTTCCTGGAGCACAAGTAGGAGCTCCCTGTAGAAGATCTTTGCCCTTCTTACTCTCCAGGCCTTCCCTAATGTCTTCTAAGAATTTACTTTCTCTCTCCATTAACTGTTAGTTAAGAGAAAAAGTGTCTTTGTGTAGTGTCTGGGGATAAATCTCCACATCCCATTTCCTTCTCTGTGAGCAGGATTTCCAATTTCCAAGCCTGATGGGATCTCCCAGCGGGAACAAGATCTACAGGTCTTTGATCTGGAAACTAAGAATAGAGAAGTCTTAAGAGATGACTGCTCAGGTGAGTAAGGTAGAATCAATCAGATGGAATTAGTAGGGAAGTAAGAGTCAAGTTGTTGAGCCAAATTGTAGCTGCTTTGGCAGTCAGAATGAAGAGCTCGGTCTATATACTAGATGGCGAGCTCCTTCCTTTTCCCTTCAGTTTTGATGAATTCTTTGCATTTACTTTATCCCTTATCCACAAGTTGTACTGGGTCCCTGTTCAAGTTGCTTATCTATAATTCTTTTGAACTACTTCCCTATTACCTGCTTTGAAACACCTTAATTGGTTATCTTCTTTGCCAAAAACGTCCTCTGTTTCTACCACACCCTGAACCATTTGTATATTACCTCACTGCTCCTATTCATGCCCTTGTATCTGCTGTTGAGATTTTGTGCCTGTGCTTCAGAGTAAATAAACTCTCATTTTAGTAGATTCTAGATTAGTTTTCTCCTCTCTGAGGTTTTTTTTTTCCCCCTAAGCACAGGGTACAGATTACATTTGCATTTTCTATTTATATATTGAATCAGATGGAGAGACAAGAGAAGAGAACAAGCTGTTGATTCCTAAGCAGGAAATTTTGGAAGAAGTACATTCATACAAAGTGAGAGTAGGAAGACTCAAAAAGGATATTGCCCAAGTTCCTGGGACTAGAGAAGTGTCTAAACCTGAGGACAGATTAGAAAGGCTTCAGGAAATCCTAAGGAAATTTCTCTTCCTGGAGAGAGAGTTTAGGCAGATAACAATCAGCAAGAAAGCCTTCACCAGTGACAGTGAATGTAATGAACCTGAAAAAAGCTTCAGTCCGGACTCTACCCTTGATACAGATCAGAGAGTTCTTAGAATACAGAATATTGATGATACTGATAAGTATGACATGGGTATGAACCAGAATTCAGCTGCTGGTAAACAAGAACAAATAAATCTCATACAGGATGTTCAGAGTAGTGAATATAAGGAAAGCTTAATGGATCTCTCCCACCTTAGTAAATGTGACAGCATTCCTGCCACAGAGAAATCCTATAAATGTGATGCATGTGAGAAAGTCTTCCATCAGAGCTCTGCCCTTTCTAGACATCAGAGAATTCATACTAGAGAGAAACCCTACAAATGTAAAGAATGTGAAAAATCTTTCAGTCAGAGTTCAAGTCTTAGTCGACATAAAAGAATACACAGTAGAGAAAAACCCTATAAATGTGAAGCATCTGATAAATCCTGTGAAGCATCTGATAAATCCTGTAGTCAGAGCTCAGACATAACTCCACATAAGAGGATTCACACTAGAGCAAAGTCTTATAAATGTAGTAATTGTGAAAGGGTTTTCAGTCGCAGTGTACATCTTACTCAACATCAGAAGATTCACAGAGAGATGCCCTGTAAGTGTACTGTATGTGGCAGTGACTTCCATCATACCTCACACCTTGCCGAACATCAGAAAGTCCACTGTGAAGAGAAAGCCTATGAATACAATGATTGTGGGTTGACCTTTATGAAACATCAAGGAATTCATCTCAGAGAAAAGCCCTATACGTGTAATGAATGTGGAAAGGACTTCAGATTGAATTCCCATCTTATTCAGCATCAAAGAATTCACACAGGAGAGAAACCACATGAATGTAATGAGTGTGGAAAAGCTTTTGGTCAAACTTCATGCCTTATTCAGCATCACAAAATTCATGGGAAAGAGAAGTCCTATGAGTGTAATGATTATGAGGAAAGTTTCAATCATAGCTCAGATCTTGTTCTTCAGCAAGAAGTCCTCACCAGAGAAAAAGCCTTTGATTGTGATGCATGGGAAAAGAACCTCAGTCAGACAGCACACCTTGGTCAACATCAAAGAATTCATACCAAAGAGAAACCTTATGAATGTGACGAACGTGGGGAGACATTTAGTCAAATTCAGACCTCATTCAACATCTGAGAGTTCACACCAGGGAGAAATTATATATGTACTGAAGGTGGTGAAGCCTTCAGTCATAGCTCAACCTTATTCAGCATCAGAGAATCTACACCAGAGAGAAACTCTCTGAATGTGATGAATGTAGGAAAACTATTTGTCAGTGTTAAACTTCATCGACATCTGCGAACCCATACCAATGAGAAAATCTATGAATACATTGAATGTGGTAAATGCTTCATGCTATTTTCATACCTTAGTCACCATTGGAGAATTCTTACTGGAATAAAATTCCATCACTGTAATAAATGTGAAATAGCCTTCAGTCAAAGAAACTACCTTGTTCAGCATCAAATTCATTCCATGCAGAAAGCCTATGAATGTAATAAGCATGTATACGCATGGGAGGATTCAGTCATATTCCACCCCTTTTTCAACGTCAAAGAATCCGTGCCCAGGAGAAGCCATTCAAGTGTAGCAAAGGTGACAAATCTTTCAGTGGGAGTTCAAGTCTTTTTCATCATTAGAATCTCCACACCAGACCAGAATCTGATACAATGCAAATGGAAAAAATGTACCTCTACATTTCAGGCTTTACTCAACATCAAAATACTGGAGAGAAATTTTTATATAAAATTGTTAGCCCTGATTTTTTCATTGCAGAAGAAGATAGTCTGAGGAGTGACTTGGTGAATGCAATGCTGTTTCCTCATGGTATTCTTTTATTTAATAGGTGGTGTAGGTAGGTATATAAACTTTATTTATGGAGCTCATTTAAACTATTTTTTAAAATATGGCCTATGAACATTTTTATTTTTCCTGAAATTTGGTTCCTGTTACAGCTTCTCTAAGATATTGTTAATACACCCATGTAAAAACATAATTAACTTCTGGAAAGTAGCTCATTTAGATTTTTCTGCTGTTCTCAGCCCAAGTTCTCTCCAAAACAGACTCTTAGGTCTGCTGTTTTCTGAGCATCCTACTTTCCTGTTGCTTTCCAGCCACAACACTTGGATTCCTGTTAATTTCTCCATTTTCTTAGTACCTTCAAATGATGGTTTTCTAGTTTTAAGCTTCTCACCAGCAGGTTTGCCATCCCTACTTGATGTTCGTGTTCTGGTGTCTTCTTTCCTAAAGTGAAGCATCTACCTTTAAAAAGAATTGGATTTCCACATCCTGTCCATCCATGAGTTTGAAGGATTCCATCTCTACTGCGTTTGTGGCAGGCAGCTAAACATTTTCAAATGACACCCCACCCAATAGCTGTCTTGTCTGCATCCCACAGCCCTCTAAAAGAGATAAGGACGTCAGGGAGCCAACAAGACTCCTGATGGTCTAGCTACATTCATTCAGCGCCTGTTCTGCATGTCAGAGTTTAGAATTATTTTATATACTTCCTGTTGAAGGACAGCAAAATGCTCAGGTCTGCTTTTGATAGGGCAAAATATAAAGAACATACACAGAAAAGTCAGAGAACTTCATAAGGGAATGCAGCTTTTCAAAAAAGATACTGCTGTTCTTCTGTAATCTCTCTGGAGAGAGTATTTTAAGAGAGTGGCAGGTCTTCCTGGTAAAATTTTAACTACTACGATTGCTTCTTTATCTGTTTGGATTTTTGCCCCCCCTCTCCCATCAATCCAGGACAGTATTTGAAGTGTGGGGGCTTTGTGTATAATTGTTTATTCGTCATCGCATTTTCTGTATTTTACAAGAGTCTACAGGCCATATAAAAGAACTTGGTTTTTTGATTGATAAAAGTGATCACAGATGTCAGGATGTCCAGAGTTCAGGGTCACTGTAAACACCTAGCCAAGAATTCATGATTCTTTAGATGTTGTCAAAGCATTTTATTATATTTTTCCATCTTAAGTTTCATAATATTTTGTGAATAAGACAGGTGTTAACTTAAAATTCTTATTGTCATTCCAGCAAGTGAGGCCTTCGTAGTTCAGATGTTATAATATTCACTAGGGATTCTCAACAAATATATAACAATTTACTGCTTATTCTGTAATCCTCTTATGGCTAAGCTCTAAGATAGTTCTACCACCGTATTTTGCCTCTTAGCCATCAGCAAGCATAGGATCTTATCAGGGCAAAGTAGAGATCTAAATGAATTGATTTAAATGTAAAAGCAAATGAAAAATGCATGTTTTTTTTCCATTGTTTATGAATGTGTATGCCCTTATGTACAGAGACCAATGGTCACTTCTGGTGATTATGAAACAGATTAATCCCTAAATAGCAGAATATGTAAAAATCACATGTATGCATTTGGTTTAGGAATGTGCTTTTGTACTTCCACTTGAATAAAGGTGTGTTTGATACTCAGAATCTGTTTCAAAAAATATCTAAAGGCCTCAGCCAGAAGCATTTGGAAATCTTGGAATCACCTTCCTGGCTGCGACTCAGTTCCTTCCAGAAACCTGCTTCACAACAGGAGTGGATCAGTCTCCTTCACACTGATATAAAGCTTGCTCTTCCACAGACTTGGGGAACAAAGTCTGAATGTTTAGGGTTTTAAGGATTATTCAATTGGGATGTTGTTGGCACATAAATAGTTTGAGGTTTCAGTAGGACTAGGCAGAATGGTGTTTTTTTTTTTTTAATAAGTAAAACACATTTTAAAAAATGAGAAACCAAAATAATCCTGGAGGACAATTGTCTCTTTAAACTTCCAATATTTAATCAGTCCAATATAATGTGAGTTTGTGTTTTTAGTGTTTTAATCTTGAAGATTAAAGGGGAGGGAAGAGAAGAAATCTAATAGTTGAGGTACACCAAATATCCACCTACCTACATGCATATGTATGTTCATATTCAAACTTAATCCTCACACCTCTGCAAGGGAACTAGCTCCGTTTTACAGAGGAACTGAGGTGTAGAGAGGTTGAAGAATCTGTTAGGGTCACTCAGCAAGTTAATGGCTCAAGTCCGGCCTGACTCCCAGGCTTTCCATCATCATGATGTTGATATTAGACACATCCCAGAACCCAGAGAAGTTTTCTTTGATAGCTCTTCATTCCCTGTTACATCCTCAGTGGTTGACTATTACCAGTTTGCAATTAATCTGAATGCTCCCAGAGCTGTCTGGGGTACTAGGAGAAGATATCCCAGTATCTTTTGGGAGCTAATCAGAGATCCTGCTCCCTGAAACAGGCTTAGATGATTTTGACAATGACATGCCACAGGTCAGAGCTCCCAAATTCTTAACTCTTGTCAAGCTATCCCAGCTCCCATTACTAGATTTACATTTCCATTTCTCAATGCCCAGAATGTGCTTTTTCCCTGCTAACTGGAACTTGCTGATTGATGGACATGTATTAGATTTCCTGTCACTTCTGACTAAATTACAGCATTGGAGCAAGGTGGGTAATGGGAAAATCAAGTTTGATTGCTAGGTTTTTGACGAGCAAAAGCGTGGATAGATGTAGACTGGAGAGATGGGGACCACTGGAAGAGGAGCAGGGAGAGTATTTCAAGCAAAAGAGCATATCAGAAGGCCTTCAGATGAAAGAGTTCGGCATCTTCAAGGTAAGAAGCTCTCTGGAGGAATGCATTACCCTAGGAAGTAGTATGTGGGCAACTGAGGAAGTTTAAGAACGAAGTTGAAAGGAGGCCCCTCGGGTGTCATAACGGCAAAGCACAATGGAATTCCCACCTCTGAAAATGTGACCTCATCCATTCATTCAGTAGTACAGTTGCCAGATGTGATGATGTTCAGTGCCAGCCCGTGGGCACAGTTAACATAAACTATCAATATTAAGTGATGAAGACAAACAGATTAGAGTAGTTGTCACAGCAATGACTGGAATTGGACATACCTGTTTGAACTTTGCTATTGACTAGCTGTGTGACTTTGGGCATGTTAGCCTCTCTAGTTTCCTTGTCTATATGATGGTTAATAATAGCATGAAAATTAAATGAGGTAATGTAAAAGGTACTGGTTATATCTTAAGTGCCAAAAAGTTACGAACATAAACACCAATATAAAAACCAGTGAGAATGTAAGTGTTTAGCATAAAATCTAAAAAAGAGGGAATTAAGGAGCAAGCATTTAGCAGTGCAGGACTAGACTAGCATTGTCCAGGGAGGGATATTCTGGTTTTGGAGAACTTAAATATGAATTGAGAGGTCATCAGGAATCCTAGACTGTGGTAGGAACTGCCTCTCCCCATAGGCACTCCTTACTGGAGTCAGCAAGCCTTGACATCTGTCTTTTCTTGCTAACATTTGTATCCTATGGCATCACATCTGACACTCCCTTCAAAATATGGGCACATGAATGAATCTGTTTAATCTGAGACTGGAAGGATAATTTCAAACAGCGTACTGTACAAGTCAATGAGAAAATAAATACTGGAATTTTTCATTTTGCTGATGCATCCCATTCACACCCTTCACTTTTAGAAAATAGTTAACCTCATATTTGTATCCCATTCATGTTTATAAATTTACAACTTGGGCATAATGACAGTATCTGTCTTTTTCTTTCCCACACTTGATCCTATTACAAATCTCCACCTGGTCTAACCTTTGTCCTCCCCCCAGGTGCAGTTTGACTCCAGGCTCTGGTTTGAACTGGCCAGGGTTCTAAAGGCTGCCTTGCTCACTGAGTCTGCAGTTTTTGGCACCTAAAATTTTGAAAAAGCATGAATTTAATGAGATTGTCGTGAAAATTAATGAGATAATGCCAGTTTACTCCAAAACTGGTAACTGTTTCTGAGTTTAGCAGGAAACCCCCCCCCCCCCAATCACGAACAACTCATTTCCCTAACATTTTTCCTGCTTCGACATATCAAAGCTATCTCTGGCAAACTCGTCCAGGCACAGTAGAATGTTTGAAATCTTGACCCTATTTCTAAGGCTTTTCTTCCTCTTTTAGCCCATTGGTACCAATGTTACTCCTGCTTACTTACATACTCAGGCACAATTGGGAGGCAATGGAGTAATGGAGCGGAAACACTAGTCGGGTTGAAGCAACCTAGGGAGAGGACAGGCTGGACTGTAGGCATAGATAAGGGATTCAGGTCCAGCAGAGTCATCCCCGCTTTGTGGTTTGCAAGGAGGGAGGTGGGGATGGGTGGTAAAACGGCAGGGGTCAAGGGAGGCGGCAAATGAGGTGCACAGGGGACAGTGGGGGTGAGAAAGAAGGGAACAACCAATTTAGATCCTAGGTCCACGTGGGCGATGAAGGGCAAATAGAGAAATCTAGCCTCATCCTCCCTCAATGCCTCCTTGGGTAAGGACAAACGCCAAAGGAGGCGCCATCCCAACGCGGTTCTGGGCCCAGCTCCCCAGCCGCCCCTGCAGAACCCGCGATCGAGAGGAGACCTCCGAGCTGCCTAGACGGGACCCGGAAGTGCGCGCCGGGGAGCCCGAGTTTCCAGTCGTGCCCGGGGACCGAGGGCGCCGCCGCTGCGGAGCGGCTGCGCGAGTGAGTATCAGGGCCCCGGACTGGGGGCTGCGGGTCCGCCCTGCCGCGGGGGAGAGAAGCGCGGGCTGAGACGGAGGTGGGGGGTGGGGGGCTCGGGCCGAGGGGACGCCGGTGGCGTGGGGTTGGGGCCGCAGGCCTGACCGCGCCCCCGCGCCGGGGCCCACCCAGCCCGGGGACAGTGAAGTGGGAGCCTCTCCTGGAAAAGCTTCACTTGCCGTTTCCCCTACATCTGCCCTCTTCTCCCTCCCTTTCCCGCAGTGACTGCCCGTCCGTTGTGCCGCGCTCTGAAGAAATTTTAGAGGAGGTCTTGTCTTTGGAACAGCACTGGGGATTGGATCCAGCCCATGGAGAAGCTGCCTGAGCAGATAACCCCGGAGTCCCTGTCCCCATCCTCCAAGCAGGAGCCCCGAAAGAGCAAGGGTGAGGAGCTGACCTAGCTGGCTTTCTTTGTCTAAACTTTGTCCTTCCAGCCGCGGCCTCGGATCAGATGGACACGATTAACTAACTTTACACTTAGAATTGTCCTGGTGAAAAACTACTTTTTTTTTTTTTTTAGCCCCAAGGCTCTATTACATGTAAATAAAGCCTGTAACCAACGTTTCCTCTCGACTGTGTGGAGCAGACCTGCAGCACAGTAGTATCCTAGCACTAAGTCTAGGAGGATCTGTCATTCCAGCACCTGCCAACTTGCTTGGCCTTTGGAGAAGCTCAGTAAATGTGTGAATAAATAAATGAATGAACTCAGCCAAGAATGTCCCATACCTCAAGTACCAGGAAAACAGCGGGCTCCTCCACTCATCCTACCCAAGCTCTCCTTCATCCTTAGGGAGGATACATTTACCACCCCAGGTATAAACTCCAAGCTGGTGCCTTGCCTGTGAAGTACAGTAGATAAGCCAGCCAGCCACCTGCTGATGGAAAATGAGGTTAAACTATTAGTATCAACGTTTTTTCCTTAAGTATCAACATTTTTGTTTCAGTCTGCCATCCCACCATTATGTATGTCTGGCCCCTAAAAAAATGGACTTGGCTTATTTAATTGGGTGACAAAGGCTTAGATAATCCACATCATGGACTCTGAGATGGCTTATATTTGGGGAGATTTTCTTTTACACATTTATGTGTAAAAACTATGTTTTCAGACTAATTTTTAACTTGACAGGTATTTATTGAGCTGTTAGTATGAGGTGTTGAGACTAAGTTGAAAGAAAACCTAACCCCTACTCACCCACAAACTTAAGAGTTGAGTTGGAATAGTTACCTGTGAGAGGCTATGGACAGTAAACTATGTAGAAGTTTACAAGAGGAGATCCCTGTGAACTGGGTTTTGGCCCAGGAAGTCTTAGAAAGTCACAAGTTTGGCCTTGAAAGAATTTAGAGTAAGAAAGGAATCAAGTTGGCCTTTCTTTCTTTCAACAATACTATTGTTATATTTATTTAGAGAGAGCGAGTGAGCCAGTGGAGGGGCAGAGGGAGAGGGAGAGAATCCTAAGCAGGCTCCCTGCCCAGCGAGGAACCCAGCATGGGGCTTGATCTCATGACCCTGAGATCATGACCTGAGCTGAAATCAAGAGTCAGACGCTTATCTGACCAAGCCACCCAGGTGCCCCAGAAAGGAGTCAAGTTTTAAATGAGAGGGGATATAGATGTTTACCATAGGCTCCCAGTTGCTAGTCTTTCTAAAAGGCCAAGTGCCTGTACTCACCTTCCTAAAACACTCACTTACTCATGTTGGTTCACAGTGCCCACTGCATTCAGCCCATACTCCATAACCTGGCATCCAGGGTCCTTGGTAGTGTGGCCTCAACCCACCTTGAAAGTCTTTCCTTAGTGTGCCCCAAAACAAACCAGCAAGACTGGTGTGTCTGCACAAAGTAATGCCAAAGACCCTGCACTCTCCACCGTTGTGTCTTTGTGTCCTTTTTCTCATACATTACTGTTCCCTATATTCTCTGCCTATCCAAACACTACACATCCAGCATCCTGCACAGGGCAGTCTCCTAGGTGAAATTTCTGAAACAGACTTGGACTGTGAGGAAGGAAACAAACAGATGCAAGAGACATTTACACGAAAACCTGAGGACTTGGTGGTTGATTGAGCATTAGGGGGAAATTGGGTACAATCGCCCTTGTTCCCTTCACTGTCATACCTCTTAAAAAAAAATCACTAGTTGCTATTGCTTTTGTAACACAGGGCACTGCTTCTGCTCCATCAGAACTGATGATATCCAAGTTGCCAATGGCTTAGCTAATGAAGCCACTGGACACATTTTTTTCAGCTTTAATTTTTTGACCCCTTCCTATTTTTTGTTGATGTGATCACTCTTCCTCGCACCTCTTGTTCTTTGGTTTTGGAAGCACCGTTTTCTTCTGGTCTTCCTCTTGCCTTCTCTGGGCCTTCCCCACTCCTGTTTCTCCATCTGTTTTTAAACATTAATTTTTCCCCAAGACCGTTCTTAACCCTCTTTTTTTCACTCCTGTGGGTGATCCTATCCCCTTCCAGGACTTCTCTTAACCGCTATCTGCTGCTCTTGCTGCCATCTGGGTCCTGAAAACTAGATGTTCATGGGTGTACCTCGGAGCTCCTTGTTTTCTGTCAGGCCCACACCTCCCTACCTTCCAGTGACTGTCTTGGTTAATTTTATTTTTTTAAAAGATTTTATTTATTTATTTGACAGAGAGAGACACAGCGAGATAGGAAACACAAGCAGGGGGAGTAGGAGTGGGAGAAGCAGGCTTCCCTGCAGAGCAGGGAGCCCGATGCGGGGCTCGATCCCAGGACTCTGGAATCATGACCTGAGCCGAAGGCAGACACTTAACGACTGAGCCACCCAGGCGCCCCTGCCTTGGTTAATTTTAGTGACTGATTTTCCCAAGCTAGAAAACTTGGATTTGTACTGTACTATTCTCCTTCCCTCCGTATTCAGTCAGCCACCAAATCTGTCAGTTTCTCTTCAGAGAGGCCTGATTCTGTTGCCTGTGATTGCCGTTTCCTCATTTTAGACCCATTCTAGTTTTCTTGGGTTGTTGACACATCCCTATGCTATTGGTCATGTACCCTACTCTAGGCTATCCTCCATTCTGCTGCCAGAATGAATTTCCCTAGGAACAAATTTGATCATGTCAGTCTCTGTCCAAAGCCCTGGGTGTGGTATATATGCCTCTTCATATCTGGCTCTGCTCTATTTTTCTTTTTCTTTTTTTTTTTTTTTTTTTGAGAGAACTAGAAAGCGTGAGCAGAGGCAGGGGCAGAGGGAGAGAATCCGAAGCAGACTCCATGCTCAGCGAAGAGCCCGATGTGGGGCTCAATCTCAGGACCCCAAGATCATGACCTGAGCCGAAATCGAGAGTCGGACACTCGACTGATTTAGCCACCCAGGTGCCCCGTCTGGCTGTACTCTATTTTTCTGCTATATCTCCTGGTTCCTGCCCACATGGGGCATACATTTCACTCACATGGAGTTTTTGTTTTTGTGTGTGTTTGTTGTTTTCTATTCCTTGAACTTAGTGTTCCCTTCTATGTTGCTGAGCCTTAGCAGATGTGATTACTTTTGTCTGGAATACTCTTCACTTTGTTGATCCTGATCATAGTTCAAGATCCAGCTCAACATCATTCTTTGAGGCTACCATCTCCAGGTCACCTAGGTAGGGGTTGTCCTTCCTAATTGCGCTTTGAAGCACCATTATAATCCCTCTACTGGTATCTGGCACGTAGTAGGTGGTATGTACGTTTCCTGATTGGTTATATCAAACAGGGAGTGTATTTGTTTCCTAGGGCTTCTGTAACGAATTACCACAACTTCATAGCTTAATACAGCGGAACTGTATTCTCTCAGTTTTGGAAGCTAGAAGTCCACGAGGGCTGTGCTACCTCTGAAACCTCTAGGGAAGAATCCCTCCTTGGCTGTTCCCAGCTTCTGGTGGTCCCCAGCAATCCTTGGTGCTCCTTGGCTTAAGGCTGCATCACTTAGTCAGTGTCTCCATTGTCACATGGCCTTCTTTCCTGTGTGTTTCCATGTCTGAATCTTCCTCTCCTTTCTCTTATATAGATGGCAGTTATTGGATTTAGGACCCCCCCTAATCCATTATGACCTCATCTTAACTCTGCAAAGACTCTGCTTCCAAACAAGGTCAGATTCTGAGGTTCCAGGTGGACATGAATTAGTGGGGGTGGGGCAGGGAAACGACACCGTTGGACCCAGTACAATAAGTATTGCTCATTTCTTCTGCTGTTAGAAGTAAATATACTTGGGATCCCACGGCTTTGTAGTTAAACAAACTTGAAGAACTGCATAGATTTTTTACCCCTTCCCTTTAAATTAGAAGCAGATCAGCGAAGAAACTTTTTTTTTAAACCTTTGTCCACAGGAACACATTTGATTTGCTTATTTCAGGGGGCAACTGCTCTCCTCTTGGGCTTCTCGAGCTCTGTCTCAGAGCAGCCACTGTCTGCTGAGGCATTCCAGAGGGTCCTGCTCTCTACCAGAGTTTGAATCTACGTTTTTGATATTTTTTCTGTAAGTGGCTCTGACCCATGAGGAGATATACCTCTCTGAATTCTATTTGAGCCTCAGTCCTGAAGACTTTTTATAAATGGTCTATTTGGGACCCTCAGTGACTTACAGATTCTTCTCTTGATTGCTGGGAAATAATCAGGAGCATTTTGAAGCACCGAATGTGCGCAGGGTTCTTTACATAGCACTGGGCTTGGAGACAAAGAAATGGAAGACCTCTTTTAAAATAGAGATGCTTTCAGCATAAATTGAAGGGAACACACACACAACTAAAAATACTTTTGAGGAGAGGCCCAAAGACAATGTGGTTAAATGCCATGAAGGAGACAGGAAGCGAATGCTTTAGAGATTTAAAGGAGAGCTCACTTCCAGCTGGGATTAGAGTGGGGTTAGGTTTCAGGAAGGAGGCTGCCTTGAGCTGGGTCTGGAAGGTTGAATAGGATTTTGATAGGTGGAAGAGAAGTACATGTGTGGGGATATACATGTTCAGAAAACTGTTCACATTGACTGGAGTATAGAGAAGATGTGATAGAAGATGAGTCTGTGAGGCAGAGTGGAGTAAGACTGTGCGAAAGGAATGCCAGGCAAAGAGCTTAGCTTTTGTTTGGCAGATATTGAAGTATGTTATGTTAGCTTTTCTTAATAGGCGGCTAGCCGGTGAGCGTTGTATATCAAGGGAGAGAATCTGATTTGTTGAGTGTGGTATGGGAGGTGAGGTGATTAGGATCTGACTTTAGGACGTTCCTAGTGATAATAGGAAGGTAGGGACAAAAACCAAGAAGTGTGTTGTAGGTAGAAGCAATAGTACTTGTTTACTGAGTGGATGTGGGGGCAGAGAAAGGAGTCACTGCTCGTTGTCACCCCTTCCTTTTTTATTTTGAAAAATGCTAAAGCTACCGGAGAGTTGCAAGAACAGTATAACAAATACTCATATGCCAGAAGGAGGAGCACGTTTGAGACATACTGATCTCAAGAGACTGGTATGAGAGCCATGTAGAAATGTCTTTTTAGATTACTGAAGATGCTGTAGCCTGTTATAAATATCGCCCATTTCAGGAGATGGGGACACAATCCCTCCAGCTACTCAACCCAGAGAGAAAACTTTATTCTCTCATATTCATACCCATCAATCAGTAATCTTGTCCCCACGACCATCAACATTTTTTTCCAGAATCGCAGTACTTCTTACCACCTCTGCCACCATCTTGGTCCAGGGTGCTGTCATCCCTC